GGCGGCCACGTAAACTCTGATTGTAGAAGGAGCCCACCCCGCTGAGAAACGGGTTTGTAAGAACTCCAGGACTGTAGCTATTGCGCCATTCACTTGGTCTACAGTGGATCCCTGCAGATGTGAATCTCACAAGGAGTGCCATCTAGCAGGGATATTATCTCTGAGAACCATATTCGAGCTGGCCAATAATGTGCTACTAGCAGCAGACATAGATTGTCTTGGCGAACTCTCGCTAGTGGGAGCAGAGCAATTGGGGGAAAGCGAATAGATAGTGGGAGCAGAGCAATTGGGGGAAAGCGAATAGATATGACCTTGGGTACATGTGCACCATGACATCCAGCCCTAATTGGGTCTGAGGAGTGAAGGCAAACCACAGCAGACCGTGTGTTGTCTCCTCAGAGACAATATGGACTCCACTACTTGTGGATCGAGCCACCACTTCCTGGACCTCAGCCCCTGCCTCAACAGGATGTCTGCCCCCATATTCGCAGAATGTACATTGCACTCACTGACCAACTTTCCTTCTGCCCAGAGAAGATGTTGCGCCAGCCTGAACAGGGGGCGCGGACATAATCCTCCCTGGTGGTCAATATATGAAACCACCACTGTGTTGTCTGTAAACACATGGTGACCTCTCAATTGAGGAAGAAGGAATTTCCGTGCTAGAAATATGCACACATTTCTAGGAAATTTATATGCCGCTCCAGATGAATGCTGCTCCAGAGACCCTGAGCTGGACAGCTGTCTAAGACCCATGATAGAGATGTCTGTCATTACCATCTTGCTCTAAGGAGACTAGAAACCGGGGACACTCAAATTCTCAGTCCACGTAGGCATTGCAGCATGGCACTGATTACTCTCAGAGGTTTCATCCTTGGATGAAACCCCCAACTTCTCAGCCACCACTAAACAGTCTCCTGTGCAAAAGGCACATAAGCTCCAAACTTCTCCCAAGATCTAGCTTTATCTTGCTCAGTGTTGATAGGATTGACCCTACGCATGGTGGGGATAGAACGCCCTCATCGTAGTAGAATCCTTATAAACTAGAAAAGTTGTCCACTGCACTGGGGAATGCATAATTTTCTGAAGTTCAACCTGAGCCCCAAGCTCTTCATGTGGACATCTTAATGTTGAACTGCTAGTTCCCTGGATCTTGCTGAATTAACCAGTTGTCCAGGTAGTTTAGTAGACGGATGCCTTGGAGTCACAAGGGAGTCAGAGTGACATCCATGCACTTTGTGAAGTTGCGAGGGGATAAACCTAGAAAATATGTGGAAATATGCACCTTTTAGATCTATCGTCAGAAACCAGTCCTCAAATCAAATCTGTGGAACAATAAATTTGGGCGTCAGCATCTTGAACCTGTATGTCTGAAGAGTACAGTTCAGATGATGCAGATCTAAAATTGACTGCAACCTCTATTTTTTGCGGACCAGGAAAACCTCCCTCCCTCAGGGAACCTGGTACATGTTCTATGGCCCCTTTGTCCAAGAAGGATCTTACTTCCTGCGCTGGTCAGTGCTGACTACTGTGGTGAGCACACCTCTGAACCGTGGGGGTCAAACTCTAAATTGGACCTGGTAACCCTTTTCTACATTAGACAGAATCCATGGAGAACGCATTTGGCAGTAGTTTCCACGCTGCCAGGTGGTCTTTTTGTGATGTTTATGTGACTATTCCACATTCTATTGGAGGGAAAGCATCAGACTTTTGTTGCCCTGTGACAGCTCGCTGACCTGAGAACACTGAAAACTTGGGCCCAACTGGGGGTTAATTTAATTTAAATTTGGGGCTTAACAACCTCATGTAAATGGTAAATGGCACACTTATATTTACACTGTGTCTCATTCACCTGTACACTCACACTCAAATGGTAGCAGGTAACTTGCCATCGGGAGCAACTTGGGGTTCAGTGTCTTGCCCAAGGACACTTCATCATGTGGAGTCATCCGGGCCAGGAATCGAACCGCCAACCCTACGATTAGTGGACAACCCACTCTACCACCTGCGTCACAGCCGCCCCATGTCCTCTGATCCGTCCCTCCCGTCCCCGCTGTTCTTTATCTGCTTGGCCTTTATGACCATTCTCAAATCAGGCCTAGTAGTAGGCCACAACTGTGGCTGCCCATTTCCCCTGGCTGTCTGGGGGTTGGTGGGATGCCATACTCGCCTTCTGTCTCTCCCTCGCACTAGTGCTGGCTATGGGCTCCACTAGTGGATGCCCGGGTGAACTCAACACAACAGGGAAGGAACTGACTGAATGCTGCCATATGTCGAGCTCATTCAGCTGGTCTGCTTGGTAGGCCTGCAACACTGTCATTGTTTGCAGTGACCCACAAGCAAGACTTCTACTGCATAGGCCTTGCCCACCAAAGCCAAGTTGGCCTTAAATGGTGGCTTGGATGGCAAAGCTGGCCCTACTAAATGATCTGCTGTCAATGGAGAAAGGTAGCTCGCAAGTGCCTCCTCCACCCTCAGCATAGCTAAATAGCCATGCCGTTCATTCCCCACAATGGCCGAATAGTCCAACATTGTGGGGTTATAAATATGGCCTATTGATGGTTTTCCCTCAGAAGCCTGATAGTCACTATGTTTACATGGACAGAAATAATCTAATTATTGACCTTAATCTAAGTAACCTAATAATGTGATTATAATAATAGTAATAATGTGATTAAAGTGTTTACATGAGTCTCTTTTAGAATACTCCTGTCATGTTCCCGTTTTACATGTTATATATCATAATTAAATTAAGAGCCCACGTCATTACGTCACTGCGCCACGCGGTCCGACATCCCTACAGATTTTCACGTTTCAACATACAGTTCGTCTTCGTTATGGTACCATATACAGTTTTAGGTGTTTGTTTAATTTTTTACGAACGCTTTAAGTGCAGTTAATTATTAGTCATGCTGTACTTGCAAATAGATGACTGCTTGAAGTCGTGGGGTGCATCTCAAATCGCATACTTACCTACTGTATAGTAACCGAGATACATGTATTTTTCCCTGCTACAGGCCTATAGTCAGAAAGTATGCAGTTTGGGACACAGCCAAACTCTCTTGTTCGCCGTAAAATGTAAAACTGCTGTGTGTGTGATCATGTCCTGTCGCAAAATGCCGTGAAAATGCTCACACAACATTCATAATGTGATTAAGGTGTTTACATGTCTGTAATGCATCTCCATAATACGATTAAAACAGGAGTAACACACCTGTCTTAATTCGATTATTGCTTAATTAAATTATGACCTTTATTAGATTAAGGTTGCTGTTTACATGGTAGTTTCTTAATCAAATTATGGTCTTAATTAGATTAAGTGTGGATTATTGTTGTCCATGTAAACGTAGTCATTTTCTCATTCACTTCTGGAAGAAAGGGGAGTTTTCTGCAGTGTGAGGGATTTACTTTTAATTGGGAGAAAAAAGCTCATCCAGCCTTAGTAATTACTTCAAGTAGCTCTTTATATGCTGCTCTCAGTTCTTAGTACACCATTCTGGCTCCTCTGAGTCAGAGAAGAATTATTACTATTATTTTAAGTGTGGGGGTTTTTTTTGTTTGTTTGTTTGGTTTTTTTCTCTTTTTGGCTTTCTATAGTGGAAGGATGAGTCAAGACGTGAGCTCCAAAATCCCACAGAGAGCCGAACCCGGAAGACAAAGCAAGAGATAGAGCAGCACTCGTCTTTGGCTTCTCCTACGGATCCATAAGAGATCCCCCAAACCTGAGATGGCTAGCTGCCTCTGCATCAACCGGCCTAGATTCACGAGGCTCTGAAACCCAACTCGCTTCAGCTTCTGAGAAGAGAGTGATTCAAGAGCAGAGTTGCCTGATGTAGGCGTTACAATGTGCAGCCTCTCGAGGCTGCCATCACATACTCTACCCCTAAACACTTCACCCAGAAAGTGTGCACTATTCCCCGTGTTGAAACAGGAGCAAGCCGTAACACACTTCCTGAATTCTCTAACTCATATTTTTCTTTCTTGTTCATTCTTTTTTTTTCTTCTCTTTTTTAAAAGTGATAGAAAAGCTCTGAGATTTTGAGAAAAGATAGAGAGGAAATGAAGCGTCTTTTTGTTTCTTTACATAAACAACCAACATGCAGTCTTTCACTGAAGATAATAAGGCTGATGGCGCGGTTCACAGGTGCCATATTTATATCACATGATGTGCTGATATAAATTCCTTGACCTGATCACTGTTTCTTTCAAAGGAAACTGTGTACAACTGTTCCATTCAAATTCTGTGGTTGGTCAGAGTCTGAGCAATGGTAGGCAGGCTGATACTTTCCAAGTTCTGGAATACCAGGTTGTCCTCTAACATTTTGGTCCGAATTTCTCTCAGTTTTATTGCTTTGTCAGCTATGACACATCCTACAATGGCATGCTCCTAGTCATCACTGAGAAGCTTTCTTCTTCCCCCAGATAGAGGAAGATGTTGTGTCCTTTAGAGGAACAAAAATACAACATATTTGTATTTGTAACTGCTGGTGGCCAGCAGTTACTGTAATAAACAGCAGCTGCAATGATAGCCCTCATGAAATGCATAACTTACCTGTAGTTTTGTTGAAAAATCCTCATAATGGAAGCAACGATTGACCATCTGAGATTAGACTGCACTCTTTCACCAGCCTCTCTCAATGATAGACCATGGTTTATCACATGGTCTGTGATGGTGCCTCTTATTTCACCAGTGACAACAACTCTTACTCTCCTTTGAACAGTACCATACATTCATACTCCTTTTCCAATACCTCTCCTTCTCCCTTATACTGGTCCAACTAGTCCCCTCCCTTGTCCAGACATTTTCTTTCTTTTTCTGCTCCTCTGTGTTGTTTGATGTTGTTTTGAGCAAAACCAATCCAAAGAGTACCTTTTCACTGTGCATGCCCATGTAATGGAAAGACTTCAACACCTGGCTATGTCTCTGATTGAGATTGGAATCAGCTGTTTTTCAATGATCAGTAATTAAAAAAAAATGCTTATCAGCTGGGGCGCACGGTGGCTTAGTGGTGGTTAGTGGTTAGCATGTTCGCCTCACACTTCCAGGGTCCAGGGTCCGATTCCCGCTGGGGCCATGTGTGTGCGAAGTTTGCATGTTCTCCCCGTGCTGCAGGGGTTTCCTCCGGGTGCTCCGGTTTCCTCCCACAGTCAAAAGACATGCATTGTATGCTGATTGGCATGTCTAAAGCGTCTGTAGTGTATGAATGGGTGTGTGAGTGTGTATGTGATTGTGCTATGGACTGGCACCCTGTCCAGGGTGTACCCCACCTCGTGCCCGATGCTTCCTGGGATAGGCTCCAGGTTCACCGTGACCCTGAAAAGGAGTAAGTGGTTGAAGATGGGTGGATGGATGCTTATCAGCTGTTTGAATATTCTTTTAAAATCTTTTTGTCAATTTTGAGCTGATATTGTTGCATAAGTAGTGGCTTTATATGGTATTTATGGTTTGGAACATTAGGTCTTCATTTCTGGCATGCTGTGTTTAAGCATCTGTAATAATAATAATAATAATAATAATAATAAGAAGAAGAAGAAGAAGAAGAAGAAAAAAAGAAAAATTAAAAAATTAAAAAGAGTATAAAGATCCATGACTTTGGTATTGGGTAAGCTTATATGTAAATAAAATGTAAGCATTTTAGAAACATGTTAATTTTGTGTGAAAACAACATGAATTATGTTAATGGTATTTTCACAACAGTTTTTTTTAAGAGTTTTGAAAATGTGACTACAGATTAGACAGAAGAATGTTAGTAATTGTAAAAAATAATAATAATAATAAATAAATAAAAATTTGTAAGTCCAAGTTCAGGGTTTGTGTTAAAGGAACAAGAAGACAGTTTTCTGGCAACCCCATAAATCAGTTGTGGAGAAACTTTTTAATTGGATTCAGTTGGCTGTGAATTGTGGAAAAATAAATTGGTAAATAAAGGAATAAATTGCATCTTCGTCTGTTTTTTCATACTTCTTATTTCAGTTGTGTCATTAAATGAAATGCAGGAAGAGAAGAACATGGAAGATAAACTTAAATGTTAGCTAAAGAAGACAACATTACACAATTTTGAATATTTTCCTTGAATAGCCCACCCAATATACACTATATGGCCAAGGGTATGTGGACACTTTAGTATTAAACATCCCATTTCAAAACCATGGGCATTAATATTTAATTGTTCCACTTTTGCTGCTATAACAGCCTCCACTCTTCCAAGAAGGTTTTAGATTTGGATTGTGGCTGTGAGGATCTGTGCCTCACAAGAATGCAAGAGTTTGGCATTGATATTGGGATCAGAGATATTGGGAGGATTCGAGAGAGAGAGAGTTCCCCATGTAGTCTGAAATTCAGGAGATCCCTTGATTTTAATCAGATCCGAAGTAACTTGTGTAGTTTTCTCATTGTATACTTTATTACTCTTAATTATTAATATTATTACTTTTACTTTCCACCACGTATTTATCCCCACTGATCAGCTACTCTATGAGGGTTCAGCTGTACCTGACCAACCGACCTTCATGTCGGAGGTGTGAAAATGAACATGTGAAAATTTTTGGGCCAAAACAATAGCAGGAATAATCCACAGCCAACCCAACGCACAGGTGCAAATGGCCCATAACCCTAGGCCCACACAAACCTAAAGTGGGAGGCCATTCCACTGAACAACCCAAAAGATATTTCAAATGAAATGAAAAGTTTACAAAATCAAGAGACTGACAAAAAATCCAGAGACTCATGACCCATGCATGGCGCAGGGCCATAATTTCAAACTTTCCCTCTGCTGAAATAAAAGTAATCTGTGGGAGTTTCCAGCTAAAAAGAAAAAGGAAAAAGACAGATGTTTTTTTTTTGTTGTTGTTGTTATCTTGGTGCAATTCTGTGACTCTTTCTGTCATCCTCTCTCCTCTGTTAGTATTACTACTTGTATCGTTCCCTGCTTGATATATCGCTTTGCTTAGGTGTTCTTCATCACTCCTTCACTGTCACCACTCACTGCTCAACTCCTGGCAATCACCACAACACAAAGGTGCTAATAACTGCTGCTAATCCAGCATCACCTCAATGGCTTATTTAATCCATTACTCACAAAGGGTACAGATCCAAAGTGCAGGAACATCAGGAGGGAAGATTAGTGCATATTAAGATGGTAAAATTGCAGGTCTTAGTTAAAAGTTCCCTCCTATCAAGAGACAAAAGCAGGAGGAGATCAAACTGATAAAGTGTCTGAATGCAAAACTAGTCAAATTTGTCCCCTTTAAAACGTCAGTGAACAAATTGCATCATTAGTTTCAAATATTAACGAGAAAGCATGAACAATGTGTCTGTTCAAGAAGCCAGAGTAGTCATGTTACTGAGAAAGTATAAATGTAAACTCCTCAGTCCTGAAGACTTTCTCTAACCATATCAACATATCTAACAACATATCTAACAACCACTCAGCAACTCACAACTGGCGTTCCACAGGGGTCAGTTCTGGGTCCACTCCTCTTTTCTATATACACTACATCTCTCGGTCAGGTGATTGAGTCTCATGGCTTTTCCTATCACTGCTATGCTGATGACACTCAGCTCTATTTGTCCTTCCAGCCTGACGACCCATCTGTTTCTGCACGCATCTCTTCTTGCCTGTCAGACATCTCGGTCTGGATGAAGAAGCACCATCTTCAGCTTAACCTGGGAAAATCGGAGCTTCTCGTCATCCCAGCCTATCCCTCAATCAACCAGAACTTCACTGTACAGCTCAGCTCACTTACACTCATGCCAACCAAGACGGTCAGGAACCTTGGGGTGATTCTTGATGAGGGCTTGACCTTTACAGACCACATCTCAGCAACTGCAAGGTCCTGTAGGTTCATCCTGTACAACATCAAGAAAATACGACCATTCCTCACCAAACAGGCTACACAGATACTAGTCCAGGCTCTTGTCATCTCTAAACTGGACTACTGCAACTCACTGCTTTCAGGCCTCCCAGCCAGCTCCATCAAACCCCTTCAAATGATTCAGAATGCTGCAGTGCGCCTTGTCTTCAACCAGCCCAAGACTACTCATGTCACACCCCTCTTCATCTCCCTCCACTGGCTTCCTGTAGCTGCCCGCATCAAGTTCAAGGCCTTGATGCTCACCTACAAGACCTTGTCAGGAACAGCACCCTCCTACCTCAACTCTCTCCTGAAGGCATACATTCCCTCTCGCAATCTGCGATCGACTAGCAACCGACATTTAGTAGTTCCCACTCAGCGAGGCGTAAGGTCCCTTTCCAGAACCTTCACACATACCGTTCCCCAGTGGTGGAATGCTCTTCCGATCTCAATCCGGACTGCAGAGTCTCTCACTATCTTCAAAAACAATTAAAGACCCACCTTTTCTGTGAACACCTAACCAACTCCTAAAAAAAAAAAAAAAAAAAACACAGACAATGCACTTACACCTCTACTCTGTACACTTTGCTTCCTCTGGTATTCAATTAATGGATCTTGTATAGTAGCACTACTTGTATTGTTCCCTGCTTGATATATCGCTTTGCTTATTTGTAAGTCGCTTTGGATAAAAGCGTCTGCTAAATGAATAAATGTAATGTAAATATCAACAAATATGCAAATATTTAACAAATATTTGTTAAATAACAGCACATTTTTACATAGATTACATAGATTTCACATACATTAATAGCTGTTACTAAAAGAATAATAGCATATTAGAATGATCGCATTCATGTACCTAAACCTATCATTTATGTTACAGTCAGAATTACTGTCAGAGTTGTGCGGTTATAGAAAAGGAATGCTTCTGGTTCAAAAACTCACTTGTACTGTAGTATGTTGTTAATTAATGCCATAAATAATGTGAGTGAATGGAAACTTAAGATAAAGCACTGCCCTCTGTTTATATATACCGCCTTTAATTTCAAATTAAATCTGTGCAGGTCTATATTTTAAACACAATGCATTGTGTTCTATTGTGAAATTTTTCTAGTGAAAATAAATTAATGTTGTCAATCACGAAACCTGTTGGTGAATATTTTATGATGCTGCAACATGGTCTCATGCTGGCAAAGCTGTAATGATTTCCCAACTCATTGTGTATGAAACGTTACAAAAGTTCATTTCAGCCACATTACTTATAAATATTTTTCAGAGTGGCTATAGACACTTTACTCAGCCTGTACATTGGCCATATGACTCCAAATTAACCTATGTTCCAGTCACAGAAATCTTTATTAGAGCCATGTACATGTGACTGAGTGTGCACTACTAAAACCACAATTCCACTGGTGCATTCTGCTTTATCAATGACATCAAAGATGTCATTTAAATACTTTTCTAATGTTGTCACTATGGTTATGTGCATTATTCAAGACTATGATGAGAAGAGAATCAACTCTGTATGAAGTTTTCCCTGCTGCCAACTCACTGGGTCCAGGTAATGAATGACTTGATAATTAGCTGATTAGTATGATTGCCAATGTGTCGGCAGTCGGAACTGTAGCTGAGAACCACTGATTTAACAAATTGTACTTGAGATAGTAAAGTTTGCTCTTGAGGGGAATAGCAAAGGCAAAAACTGTGATGAAGCTAAAGGGTTTAGCATTATCGTGTCAGAGTGGGTGAGGCTTAAACAACACAACCTATTATACGTGTAATAAAGGCTAAATTTGATAATTATGGTAGAATTGTGCATATTTGACATAGTAAGGCTGACAGTTAAAAACCCAATTTTTTTAATGCTCATCATCTCATAGATCGCTGCCTAGTCATGAAAGTTTTTAGGCAGTAACAGTGATACCTGATTGTTAGTGCTTATAGTTGAGATTGTTTATATTTTGTTATCCTATTAAATGTTTTGTAACAGTGCCATGTCAATGCATCACACAACCACTATCTTCTCTCATGGGAATAATGAAAAAACAGCGCAAGCTAATAAATTAGCACTGGTATCACTATAAACACATCACAAATATTTGAGTGTCTATTCAGTGCTATTTAAGATAGAGAGAGAGAGAGAGAGAGAGAGAGAGAGAGAGAAGAGAGAGAGAACTGTTCTCATTATTTGTACAAACCTTTATATCTATAAGAGCAAATG